CCCTTCCTTCCCTCCCTCCTCGCTGCTCCTCGCTCCTCCTCCTCCCCCCGTGCGTCGCGCCCGGGCCCTCCTCCCTCGCGAACGGGCCCTATAGTCGCCCGGGGCACCTCCGCCGGGGGCCCTCGCGGCGGGGGCCCCGGCGTGCTCGTGCCCCCTCGCGTCCTCGTGGCCCTGCTCTGGCGGCTGGCCTCGAGTCGGGCACGTTCCCCTGCAGGAGGAGTCTTGAAGAACAGCTCAACAGAAACGCTAAAATCGGGCCGGACGAAAGGGGGGATTGGGAAAGGGGGGGTTACGAAATTTGCTGCACGCAGCTGGTTTCGGCCCCGCCGCCGGGCCCGTTCCTCGATACATAGGCGCTTCCGGCGCCAGGAGGCGCCGGGAAAATCAGCTACGCGAGCTGATTCTCAAACACCCCCTTTGCTATCCCCCCCTTTCGCCCGACCCGATACAAGGTGACGGCGTTTCTAATGAATTCTTCGACTCTGCCTGAAGATTGCTGGACTGTGCCCAAGTTCTCTTCCAGAGCCCGCCTGTAGGAGGACGTACATAAAAACCAGGAGGCCCGCGCGGATTCCTCGGATCGGCGCTGGACCCCGCATCCTTGGCGCGCGGAGCGTGCCAGGGGCGGCGCCGGAGGCGCCGCCAGGGGGCCCCAGCGCCGATCAAAGATATCCGCGAGGACCTCTGCGTTTTTATGTTTATGTAATTCTTCATTCCCCTAATACTTCAGGAGGGCAAAAACACCGACACAATTCATCATCGATTCCCCGGAGCATATGCGAACATATGGGAGGTGGGGGGAAGACGAAGATCCAGAAAATAGGGAAATATAGGAAATCCTGTTCTTGGTGTCTTTCTATGTGTGTGTCCCAGGGCCCCTTCAATACTGGCCGCGTCCAGCCCTGGGCGGGCGTCTTCGGACTGGCCCTCGGCCCCGGACGGCCGCAGCGCGGGCCCGAAAGCCCGCGGCCGCTCCCGCGAGAGGACGGCACGAGCGACGCCCACTTCACTGGCGAGCTCGTCGCGATGCTCGACGCCGACGTCGTCATGCTGCAGGCGGCGGGGCTCCTCCCCGCCTTCGCCATGCCTCTCCTCCTCCTCCTCCTCCTCCTCCTCCTCCTCCTCCTCCTCCTCCTCCTCCTCCTCCTCCTCCTCCTCCTCCCTCTCCTCCCCCTCGTCTTTTCCCTCCTCCTCCTCCTCCTCCTGCTCCTCCTCCTCCTCCTCCTTTCCCTCCTCCTCCTCCTCCTTCCCCTTCCCCTCCTCGTCCTCCTCCTCCTCCTCCTCCTCGTCCTTCCCCTTTTACTCCTCCTTCTCCTCCTCCTCCTCGTCCTCCTCTCGCCATGGAAGACACGGGTCCTGAAGGAAACGGGTCCTGAATATTTTCACCGTTTTCGTGTCCTCGGGGCCCCTTGGAGTGCTCGCCCTCCCCCTCCCCCCCCCGCGGCCTCCCCGTCCTTCCTCCTCCCCCCTCCTGCATGCCGGCTAATTCGCTTCGTAGTGCCCCTGCATCGCTGCCACGCTGCAGCGGGTTGCCCCGCCTCGCCGCCATCGGAACAACAAGTGTTCTCGGGGCCCTCCACGGGCCTCGGGACTGTTAACAAAAGCGACTCGGGATGAAGAGCTCGTCCTGCGGGAAGGCCACAGGGTCCAGGACCCGTGTTTCCCTTAGGACCCGCTTCCCTCGTGGTAACCACCTCCCCATCCGCCTTCTCCGCCTCCTACTCCGTCCCCCTTCCTTAGCTGCGGCCCTGGTGCATATGACATGGCAGATGCACGTTCCTTTTCAGAGGCAGGGGTTCACCGCGCTACTACCCCACCCAGTCAGATTCGCAGGGCCCGCAGCTGCCTACAAACACAGTGAGTACCGTACTCACTGGACATTCAGACGTCTTGTGGTCAATAGTGAGCGTGTCGCATCGTATCCCTCCCCGCCCCCCTGGGTCGTCGACACCAGAGGCCGGCCGCAGGGGGTCCCCTGCACCGTACTTAGGCCGATTGGGGCGTCCTCGAGGCCTCTTCGGGGCGTGTCGGGGGGCCATTGGTGGGTGGCCTCTGGGGCTCTCTTGGGGCCTCGCTGGCCCCGCCTCGGGGGCCTCTCTCGGGGGCCTCTCTCGGGGGCCTCCTGGCCGTCTCGGGCCTCCCCCCTTCCTTGCCGGCACTGCAAGCTCAGACGCGCTCGTCGGTGCCAGGCAGCGACACCAGCGAGCCCAGGGGGAAGCGAGGAGGGGAGGGCGTTCTCGGAAGGCTCGGAAGTCCCCTCTGCCTTCTGAGAAGTTCCCTGAGCCTTCCCCGAAGAGGCCGAACGCCTCCCAGAGGGCGTGAGGGCATCCGAGAGGCACCGCTGCCTCCTAACAACGCCTCCTCCTCCTCCTCCTCACATCTCCCTCTCTCGCTCGCCGCCGACATGGCAGATCTTTTGGGACTGCGGCATCACGCGCCCTGCTCAAATGGGCAAGGGCGCGCGCACCTCGCCGCGGGCGCTGGCATCAGCGCCTCGCTCGCTCGCTTGCCGCTCTCGCCTGCTCCTCCTGCCGGTTGGACGTTGCGCGAGCTCGAGCCGCAAGGCTTCAGCGGTCTAGTGGACGAGAACAAGGAAGCATGCATGCCGACTTAGGCACATGGTGACAGCTTCAGCGTGGCCTTCCTCTTGCCTCCTCTTGTTTTGCCCTCCTCAGACAGCTCCCTCATCTGAGGCAGGGTTGTATATGTTTATGTGTGTACATACATATATGTATACCTACACACATAACTACACACCATATCTACACATATAAATACACCATATCTACACACCCGCCGCCCGCAGAACCGATCTTGCAGGGCCTCGGGCGGTGGTGGAGATCAGGTATATTCGGGCCCCTGGGACCTGAACGTATCCATATCCACCGCCCCTCAGGGTCCTGCGGGGTCATCTCTGCAGGCCGCGAGTATGTATACAAGCTGGCCTCGCAACTCATGCCCATGCTATTTGAGCTGTAGCTTCCACAGGTGTTGCAAGAACGAGTGTGCTCCTCCCGGCGCAGCCACGCAGTGCTCACACGTGTACTTCGTGTCAGCAGGAATTCGCCACTGTGCTGTAGCAGGGTCGATACCTAGCTTCGCAGTGCAACGTGCATCCGCTAGGATGGTGACATACCCTGTCAGCTACGAAAGCGGCGCCGTCTCTCTCGCTCTCTCTCTCTCTCTCTTTCTCTTCCCAGCGTGGTGCCTCGAGATGCTTCTAAAAGCGCACGTGCACCATCCTTGAAACGTGTAACCACATTTCAGTGCGGGACGAGGAGTTGGACTGGAAGTCGGAGGAGGAAGAGGAGGAGGAGGAGGAGGAGGAGGAGGAGGAAGAGGAGAAGAAGGAGGAGGAGGAGGAGCAGGGGGATGGATGAAGGATGAAGAGGACGAGCAGGAAAAGGACAGAAATCTGCGAGAATGGAGCAAGGAAGAGGCAGATGGGGAGGGGCGGGAGGAGCGAGGAGGTAAGGCGCAGGAGGAGGGGGAGCCCCGCGGCCACACCCAGCGCATGCTCGACGGCATGGGCCTGGGCCACAAGCCCATGATCTTCGAGTTCAAGCGCGTGCAGAACATGCGCCTGCTCCAGCAACCGAGGAGTCCCCTTCCGTCCCGCGCTCTTGCGCCCTCTGGGATGAGCGGCGCGCTTGCGCCGGCAGACCTGCTCCTCTGCCACGGGAGGACGAGCCGCCGCGGCTGTCGCGCAACAGAGCAGAAGCACTCTACTATTAAGTCGGGCCTGTCCCTCTACAGGGGGGGTCTTCAAAAATAGTGGACTATTTGTTTAAATTTTGTTGGAGCATTTTGGAGTATTTTTTGAGTTTTTTATTCTGCGTCGGAAATCCCCCCTGTAGGGGGACACGCCCGACTTGACTCTACCAAACTAAAGTGCGCGTTTCCTTTGGCGAGCAGCTCCTTCAAAGTCATGGTGCGAACTTTGCCGCCTCCAGGTTGGGATCCTTTCTCGCACCGCTGGTCCGTCAGGGCTCCCGGCAGCTCTGCGAGCGCCCGGCGAGGGAGCCCCGGCCCCTGCTGCCGATGGCCCATCGTGCCCCCCCTCCCCCATCGTTGGGCCCCCCCTGTCGTCTGCCCCCGTGCCTCGTGGCCCCCTCCTCGTGGCCACTGGGGAACAAGCAACGACACGAAGCATAACAACTCGGAGGCCCGCGCGGATTTCTCGGAGCCGCGCTGGACACCCCTGGCAACGCCTCCGGCGCCGCCCCTGGCGCGCGGAGCGCGCCAGAGAGGGGGGGGGTCCAGCGCCGATCCGAGACATCCGCGCGGACCTCCGAGTTTTTATCTCTCTGTCAGTGTTCGCTCCCCACTGGCCTGCCCTCGCGAGCTCCCCCCCCAGCCTTAAGTCGGGCCTGTCCCTCTACAGGGGGAATGTTCAAAGATAGTCCAAACAAATCATATGGGGACTATGTTTTGAGCATTTTGGGGCATCTTTTGATCATTTTTTGGATATGATTTATTTTTTGTCGAAAATCCCTCCGTGCCGCACGCAGAGCGGTGCCGCTGTGTGCTCCCCCTCGCGAGCTCCCGCGCGGGCGCCCGTCGGCCCCCGGCAGCGGCGCCCGGCGGAGGCGGGCCCCGCCTCCATAGGGGCGGCTCTGGGCTGAAGTCGGGCCTGTCCTCCTACAGGGGGGCCGAGAGTATCCACAACAGGGGCCCAAGAGTATCCAGAGCACATCCTCCCCCGACCATTTTTCTCACTATGTTTGGATCTATTCCTCCTGCAGAGGGACAGGCCCGACTTGACTCTGGGCCGCGGGGGCCGCTCTCTCGAGGCCCGGCGCGCGCCCTGGGTGCCTCCGCGGCGCCCCGGGCCTTCTTCGGACCCTGAGGTCCGACGCTCCGAACACATTGGAGCAGGCGGCTTTTTGCCAGTTTTTGGCCTCCAGGGGCCCTCGCCGGGCCTCGGGAGCGTCAAGCAACGACGCAGGACGAAAAACCGGTCCCGGGGAAGTGGTCCAGTACCTCCTGGGTCCACGCACCACCTCTTCCTCCTCCTCCTCCTCCTCCTCCTCCTCCTTCTCCTCCTCCTCCTCCTCCTCCTCCCTCCTCCTCCTCTTTCTCCTCCTCCTCCTCTCCTCCTCCTCCTACTCCTGCTTTCCTCCTCCTCTCCTTCTCCTCCCCCTCCTCCTCTTCCTCCTCTTCCTCTTTTTCCTCCTCCTCCTCTCCTTCTCCTCTCCTCCTCCTCTCTCCTCCTCCTCCTCCTCCTCCGCCTCCTCCTCCTTCTCCTCTTCCTCCTCCTCCCCCTCCTCCTCCTCCTCCTCCTCTTCCTCCTCCTGGGCCCACGCACCAAAAATAATTGAGCAGGCGGATGTTTGGGGAGGCGCCCCAGGAGCCTCGTGGCCTTCGGAGGCCCTCTAGCGGGCCTTCGGCGCGCGCGCGTCCGCGGCAGCGAGCGGCAGGGGAGCCGCCTCTGGCCCGCCCCCCCCCAAGGGGAACCACAAGCCAACAATAGCCCAACAATCGTCCCCTATACGATGTTTCGACTATTTTTGGAGATTCCTCCTGTGGAGGGACAGGCCCGACTTCACTGTAGGTAGGGACAGGCCCGACTTCACTGTGGTTCCCCTACTCCCTCCGCCCCCACCTACAGTGAAGTCGGGCCTGTCCCTCCACAGGAGGAATCTCCAAAAATTGTCGAATCATCGTATAGGGGACGATTGTTGGGCTTTTGTTCTTCGTCCCAAATCCGCCTGTAGGGGGACACCCGACCTAAACCTACAGAGGTCCTCGGACATCGCCCCAGAGGCCGGAAAGCTGGAGGCCCGAGACCTGGACGAGGCGGCAGGCCAGAAAGCTGGAGAGGCCCATGGACGCCCCAGACCCCCGACGTCTTGATTTTTTCGAAACCTCGACCCCCAGAGGTCAAGACCCCTTCCCCTGGGCCAGTTTCTCATACCGCGTCGTTCTCTGACTGTCCCGAGGCCCAGCGAGGGCCCCCAGGGGCCGGCAATAGCGAACAGCCTTCCGTCGTGATGTTTTCGTGACACGAGGGGGTCCGGGACTACATCGCCCCGCAGCGTTCTGGAGGGCTCTCGGAGCGTTCCGCAGCGACCGGTGCATCCTCCAGCCCCCCGCCCGCCCTCATGAGGCTTCCGGTGTATCCGCATCCGGCTTTGCCCTCATCCTACCGCCGTCGTGGAGAGGGAGGAGCGGATGGCGCAGGCGCAGCAGGAGCGGGACGAGGGGGAGGAGGAGGTCGAGGAGGAGGAGGAGGAGGACGAGGAGGAGGAGGAGGAGGAGGAGGAGGAGGAGGAGGAGGACGAGGAAGAGGAGTGAGGAGGAGGAGTGAGGAGTGAGGAGTGAGGAGTGAGGAGTGAGGTGTGAGGAGAGGGAGGAGAGGGAGGAGAGGGAGGAGGAGGTCGCGGCCGGCCTGTGGCCTCGGGAGAGAGCCCGGCCGGCAAGGGCGCGGCTTGCTCGCGATACGGGCGCGTCGACGTCGGTGTCCTCGCGCTCTCGGCGCCCGGGCGGGCCTCCTCGCCCTCCTCCCTCGGTTACGCGCGGAGGGGGGGGGCAGAGAGGGAAGGGGGGCCCAGAGACGATCGCGTCGTAACAAAGAATCAGGGCGGGAGGTTTTTGGCCATTTTCGGCCTCGGGGGGCCTCTCGCCAGGCCTCGGGGCCGTCAAAAAACGATAGGACAACAAATCGGTCCCGGGGAACGCATTGAAAAATCAGGACGTCGCGTGTCTGGGGGGAGGCTTCTCAGACGCACCCCTGCTTCTCAGAAGGCGCGGGGTCTTATCCCCAGAACCGCTCGGGTGATGAAGAAATCTTGACGGGGGTGTTTGTCCATAGGTCCGGCCTCTGGAGGCCCTTACCCCGGGCCTCGGAACTGTCCAAAAACGATCCAGGAAGAACAACCGGTCCAGGGGAATGGGTGGAGACCCTACCCCCTTCTGCGCGCCGCCAGCTCCCCGCCCCTTCGGCACGTGGCACCAGCAGGTCCTGCTGCGCCCCGCTCTGCTGCGGAGCGCCGGGCTCCTCGCGCAGCCCTCGGGGCGGGCGGGCGCAAGGAAGGCTACCAGAGGCCGCCCAGGGCCGCGGCCCGCGCGAGCGCGCGCGCGCGCAGGAGGAGCGAGCTCCACGAGGAGAGGCCGCCCCTCCGCGGGGCCCGTCGACGGAGGAGAAGGTAACCATTACCGCTACGCTTCCCTCGCTCTCCCTCTTCCGGGCCTCCTGGGAGGCCCTCGTCGCCCCCGCTGGCTTCGCCTCGCAGCCCTGGTCAGCACGCGCCCTGGGAGAGGTCCGGGGAGCAGCGGTAGCAGTACACCCTTTGGTCTCCCCAGTTTGCGCCCCGGCGGCCCCCCCGCTCTGGAAGTGCCGTGCCCCCCTGCCGTCGCTGCCGCCGCTGTCTCCGCCGCCGACGCCGTCACCGCATTCGCCGCCGCCGTCGTCTTCGCTGCCGTCGCCAGCGTAGCTTTCGTCGTACAGATTGCGCCGCCGTCGTCGTCGCCGACGCCGTCGTCGTCGCCGTCGTCGTCGTCATCGTCGTCGTCGTCGTCGGCTTCCGTCCGCTTACGGAGGGAGTCAGAGAGCGGACGGAGGGAGGCAAGGAAGGCGTCTGAGGGAGCACTGGGGAGTTTCGCATTTAGAGGCTGTGTCCGTGGGAGCGGGGGGTCGGAGGGACGGGTTGTGTCCGCTGTGTTCGTGTTGTGTCGGCGTGGCGGTGACATTATCCCGGGCGTTCAAAGTTGGACGCCGCCAGCCTGGAACGTCCCACGCAGTGTCAGAGACCAACGCAGGGGTCACCACGAGACCACCGCGCCATTCGTATGGTACCTCTTCCTCCTCCTAGGGAGGGGGGGAGCCGATTAGGAAGGTCTCAATCGGGCCGAAAGGGCTTCGACTTATTTGCAGAAGGCTCTGCCCCTGATCCTTCTCTTTCCGCCTAATTTCTAAGACATGTCTGATCCTCAATTTCCTTCTGCACCGACCTTCTCCCCCTCCCCTTTCACCACCAGATTCATCACCGACTCATCGTGAGACCGATGTGACACGGTGTGCCTCCACATGGAAATCGGTTTGGGATACGGTTCGTGTCGGGCGCGCGGGCGACGCGGAGGAAGCTGCGCGACCGCGAAGGAGCCGTGGCATCGGAAGGGTATCGCAGCTGGTTTTCTAGAGAGTCTGGGCGGACTTGCGACTTAGAGCAAACTGTGGTTTAGAACTCCCTTTTTGCCAGGATTGAGTTGCGACTGACAGAGAAGATTGCGCTGGAAACCCTTGAGCGAGGAATGGCGAGTATTGGGATCTTCGACCCGGGAGGAAATCTCCCCTTGAAGATTTTGCATTGGTAGTCCCAGAGGTTAGAAGGCATTGTCGCTCCGCATAGGATTAGCATTGTAAGATTGTAGTCGTTACCGTTAGGCATGAGCGTGAACGTTGGGTTGAGTTTGTTCGGGGGTTCTCAGCAATAGGAACGCGGTCGAATACACAGCAATTCTATACTTCAGGGCTCGCAGTGCAACATGTTCCATAGCTTACAAGTGGTTCTTAAACATTGGCGTTGCAGTACAGCGTCCTCCCTAAATCAGGATCATGTCCCAAATTCCCCACGAATTGCTAGCCCCTGTTTTTCTGATTCTCGGGGTCGAATTAGGACTCCGTTCCTAAGTGTCCTACCGCAGTCCTGGGACTCAAATTTTAGATTCCTTCCACAGTCACGCATCCTTCCGACATGTACGGCCTCCAACGCAGTTCATGTCTCAGCCAAAGCTCCTTCCTGACCTTGTGAGCATACCAATGCGGATCCCTCCCCAATGTCACAGATCCGCAATTACTTCAACTGCTCTGGCATATTCCCCCTATGATGTACGACTCCTCCTTTGTCTCTTCACCATCATGAAAGTTCTTTTCCAAGTCCATTACCTTTCCAAGCTTTAGGGGTTCAGATTACACAGTCCGTCCGAAGGCACAGTGCCTTCCCAGACTCGGGGTCCCAGTGGAATGTCTCGCAAGTCGCACTTGCAGCCCAATCCAATGCGTTCCAGAGCATATCCTCCCTGAGATCGACGGCTTTGGCTGTAGAAGAATCCAGTGCGACATCCTTCCCAAGTCATAGTTCCTCCCGCTCCGTCCAGGAGGGTTCAGTGCATATCCCTTCCAAGGGCGCAGAACTTTCCCGATTCGTGCAATCCCCACGCCGGACTCATTCATTGCCCCCCCTTCTTTGGGCCCCATTACAACATCGTCCTAAGCCAGAATCCCTTTCTGCTCCATGGCGTCCATGGCAGATTTCTTCGCGAGTCGCAATTTTGTTTTACCTGTACGGTTTCCATCACAATCCCGAAATCCTTACTAGATAATGTTAGCCAGCGTGGACCCCAAACAGTGCGATTCTAGCACGTATGTGTTGCATTACATGCTGTGCAATCTATGCGGTGCTATGTTTGCTGTGCTACCAGTATATGTACTGCAGTATGTGTGCTGCAATCTATGTTGTGCAATATGTGTTGTTTCTGTATGTGTGTGTGTGGTGCAACATATGTCGTGGAACATACACGTCTATACTTTGCAGGCTAGTACGCCGTGAGCGATCAACGTGCGTGCCGCAGTCGCGAAAGCAACACATCGTGCAACCAGTGTGCTGCACTCCATGTTGTGCGATTCATGTTGTGCGATCCATGCGGTGCAGCCTTTGCGGTGCAACCGATGGAGTGCAACATATGCTGTGAAATCATTATCATGTTGTTGTGCAAGACATGTTGTGCAATATACGTGGTGTTCTCTACGTGGTACACCCTACACGGTGCAATAGTTGTGTCTGTGCAACAAATGTTGTGCAATCGCTGTGGTGCAATCTATGCTGTGCAACATCTGTGGTGAAACCTATGTTTTGAGCGCTTAAAATGCGCGCCGCTGGCGTTTTTTTTTCGTTGGACGAGGTGCAATCCGAAGACGGCGACGGGGCGTCGACGGGGCGGCGACGGCGGCCACATGGCTGCCAGACCGAGGCCCCGGCCCAGAGGACGGGCGGCGACGAGGTGGCGGCGGGGCGGCGACGGTGGCCACATAGCCGCAAGACCGAAGACATGGCCCAGTTCCGTAGATCACGTGTAAGAGCCGCTACGTGCAAGCATTGTTTGGGGAACTAGACCTTGCTTACTCGACGGGTTCCCCCACAAATGCCTGGCTGGGTCAAGACCTCCCTGCTTTAAAAAAAACAAGTGTTTCCGTTTTCGAAGAATCCCAGTGCGATTGCCTTCTGCATTACTCTGCTTCGAGCGACCCTCCCCCGAGATCGCGATCGGGGATACCCAAGGAACGCTGGGCCCTTTTACACCTAACAGCCACAATTTCATCTTCATTCTACAAACCAGAATACCTAAACATCACCGGCGTCCTTGGGGCCTGGCGGTTGCGGTATGCAGAGTGTGCGAGGCGTGTTGGGAATTCTTTCCTTTCAAAATGACAGCTCCAACCTGTCAGGCGGGCAGCAAATCCATGTCAGAGCGATCCTAGAGCGCTCCGGAACAGACACGGCGCCCGACTCCTCCAGATCCGCACGGTGACGGAGATGTGCGAATTATTGTGTTGTTGTTTTGATCGATGGTGTATCTTAACTGCTTCCGTCTCGAGAAACCAGCAACACTTGGCAAGTGATGATGTGCCCCCCCTCTTGAGAGGTCAGCGCCAGAGGGCCCAGATCTTCCAAAGTCGTGTCGGATCGATTCTTGCCTTGTGTGCCCTGCCGAAGCCACTGGCTCGAGGAGGGGCCCAGGCTCAAACCGAGGGCGGTCGCTCGATCGCGTGCGCTCCCGCGGCCTCCATGCTCGGGGGCGCAGCCGCCCCGCGAGGGCCGGCGACCTGGCGGCGCCCACGGGGCATCTGCGGTCCGTGCCGCCGGCGCCTGCGCAGCCAGCGCCCCGCGGTCTCACCGACGCAGCAGCGGCTACCGCCGCAGACGCCGTCGTCGCAGGCGGGTTCCGCCGCAGCGCCGTCGGCGGAGCCCACGGCGCCGCCTCCGCGGCAGGCGCCTGGCACGCAGCCCTCCGCGGCGTCCGCGGCGGAGGCCGCCGTGGGCCGGGCCGGGGCGGCGCTGCCGCGGTGGGCGCCCGGGGCACTGGTGGAGAGGCTGCTGGACGACGTGTCGGACATCTGGTCCGGCGCCGTGGTCGTGTCCGCCGCCGGGGGCGACCTCTTCGACATCCGCTACGCGGACGACGGCAGCGTGGAGCGCGACGTCGAGGGCCAGGAGCTGCGCCCGCGCAGGGCGCGGCTGGACCTGCCCGCCGAGGTATGGGTCTACGTGGGCCAGTGCCTGGCTGAGAGCCGGGACCTCTGCTGCTTCGAGGCGCTCGCGCAGCGGGCGCGCGCGGCGGCCCTCCGGGAGGCCGGGGTGTGGTGGTGCACCGCCTACCACGAGCGCTTCGGCCGCTGCGGGCCGCGCTGCCGCTTCGAGCGCTCCTGCGGCGCCGCGGCGGCGTCGGCGGCCGCGCGGGCCGCGGCCGAGTGCGCCGCCGCCGCCGCCCGGGGGCTGACGCCCGCGGAGAGGGTTCCCTGGAAGGCCCGCTTCAGCGAGCAGGAGCGCCTCGCCGTCACCCGGCTGTGCTTCGAGGACCAGGCAGGTCGTGGGGCACCCGGGGACGCCGCGTACTGCGTCTCGGGTGCGAGGCTGAGGCATCAGCAGGCGTCTCCCGGCTGGTACTTCGACCCGCGCCTCGGGCGCATGGTGAAGGACTACTGAGCGCGGGGCCGTGCCCTGCGCAGCGCCCGAGAGCCTCCCCCTCGTCGTCCGCTTGCTCGCTGCCGGTTCCCCTCCTCGCCCCCGGTCGTAGTGTAGGTTGCCAGCCGTGCCGCAGGTCCCGAGAAAAGGCTTACCCCTGGTGCTCCCGCTGCGGGCCAAAATGAGGTTAGGCAGCGCGGGCCAAAAGCAGCACAGTCCTGCACTCAAAAGGAGATGGCAGCAGCCATCAGAGAAAATACGTTGCTTCACTCGATGCGGAATGCGTATACGTGTGTACGTGTGGGCCGCGGTCTACATTTTGGCGTACGTGTGCGCCGCGGTCTGCGTGGTGCAACACATGAAATGAGATCTACGTGGCTGAATTCACAAGGTGCACCTCATGTTGTGTAGTCTAGATGGTACACTCTACATGGTGGCCTTCGGTCCATCCCGCCATCGCGCCTTGGTTGTAGGGCATAGGCCTCCTAGATGCCTGCGGGGATCTCTTGGGGGGCCTGTCGGCAGCCTTGTGGAGGCGGTTCTGAGATGTCTTGGAGGCCTCTAGGGGGGCTCTTGGTAGTTTCTTGGGGCCTGAATTGGACTTCTTGGGGGCCTCCTGGAGCTGCGGGGGGGCTTTTGGGGGGCCTCCTGGCGGTCTCGGGGGTCATCTTGGGGCGGAGGGCGCGGAGGGCTCGAAATGTCGCTTGGTATTTTCCTTCTGATGCCCTTCCTGGGGCCATCTTGGGACGCCTTGGGAGCCTCTTGGGCCGTCTTGCGGCGATCTCGGAGGCCTCTTGGGTCATCTCGGTCAGTCGGACATCCGAAAGGGCGACAAGGCTAAAATCCGCCCAGAACCTACCTAACATCAATGATGTTGACATCTTTGGGCCCTCTTGGGGGCCTCTTGGAGCCCTCTCAGGGCGTCACGGGGACCTCCTGGGCCGTCTTGCGCCATCTCTGGAATCTTGGAGCGCTCCTGGGTCGACTCGGGGCCCTCCTCTGGGAGGCCCCGTGGAGCCCTCCTGGCCCGTCTTGGGGCCCGCCTGGCCTTGGAAAAGCCACGCTGGAACACGCCCCCGCACGCGGGATGCGCTGGGAAATCCGTCCTTTCGGCCCCCAAATACTTGAACATGGAGGACTGAGGTGAGGGCTCGAAGGACCTGAAGACGCTCGATGTCGAACCTCGCGGCACGGTGGCGGATAGACTGACAGTGACAGTGCAGCATGTGCGGCGCAATCTGCACGGTGCAAGGCGTACTGTTCGCCAAGGGCGGTCACCGTAGGGCACCATGGCCGCCGTCACCACCCTCGTCGTTGGAGGCCCGGGACCCTCCTCCTCCGCCCTGCTCACGGTGGGCGTGGCCTCGGATGCTCAGCGCCAACGGGCCTCTTTCGCCCAGAGATGCCCAAGATTCCCAAGACGACCAAGGTACCCGTCACCACCTCCGTCGTTGGAGGCCCAGGACCCTCCTCGCCCGCCCTGCCACGGCGCGCACACGCGCGCACACGCGCGCGCGACCGCCGCGGGCAGAGACTGCACGTCTCCGTGTACACCGAGCTGCGTGCGGCCCTCGTCGCCCGGCGCGCGCAGGGCCGCGTCGGCGGCCCTGGCCGCTCCCCGCGGGCGCCGCTCGATCGCCCAGAGGGGGGGCAGCAGGAGGCCGCCAACGACGAGCGCTACTTCCTGGACCACCGCTTCGCGTCCGGCGAGATCTTCGCGGCGCAGCCGCTGGGACGCTCGTCGTCGTGCGCCGTGCGTCGGTCCTCGTCTTCGTCCTCGGCGCCGCTCGTCGTTCGTCGTCGTCGCCGTCGTTCGTCGTCGTCCTCGTGCTCCTCCCTGTCGTCGTCGTTCTTGCTGGTCTCCGTCCTCCCCGTCTCCCCCTTCCCTTACCTCTCGCGGTTCGACGACGTCGAGGTTCGGAGATCTAGACGTCACTGATGTTGCTGGGGCCTCCGGGAACCTTCCGAGACCTCGGGACCATTGCCTTCTGCCCGTTCCTGGCTTTTCTTTCCCCTCCCCTCTCTGCTCACTCGCCTCCTCCTCCCTCCCTCCTCCTCCAAAAGGCGGGAGCTAAACGGTGTCTCGGCGATTTCGTGGACCATTTTCGTTTTGACCTCGTTTTGCGGCGATGGCGGGACGAAGACAGCACAAAGGGAAACGAAGACAGGACCGAGTCAGAAAACACAGTTGAACTCGAGCCCTGCCCTCCACCTCCCTCCTCCTCCTCCTCCTCCTCCTCCTCACACTCCTCACGCCTCTCCTCCTCTCTGCCGGTTCTCCTGTCCGGCCCCCCTCTTTTGTACTCCCTTCCCGCACGTCGACCTGTGCAAAGCGGCCAGGGCAGTCCTCGCACGCCTGTTCGCGACGACGGCCACCACGGCGACCGACGAACACCGCCACTCTTCCCCCTGACGCGGCGATGGGATGCAGCCACTGGGCTTCACTGCGTCGGGTCTCGCTGGCAACGAGTTGACCGCCTTGTGTGCCAGTCGTTGGCAGAAGCCGGTCGCCTCAATGAGCGCCAGGCGTGCGGCAGGACCGATGAGCGGTCGAACACCACGACCACCCCATTCGGGCAAGTCCTGTGAGCTCAGGTTAGCATCGGCGCTGGTATTTCCATGAGCGGAAACATGTCATCCAGACAGTCCCGTTTCATCCAGGCCAATCCAGTTTCGTCGGGTTTACTCCCTGGCTTAATCTTGTCTGGTCTGGCTGAATGGCTTGTGCAATTTGGCTACATACCCTTGCATCCTTCTTACGAAGACCTCTCAAGAGTTGCTGCCCAGCTTGTGTAGTTCAAAACCCAGATGGCAGTGTGGCGCGCGCGCGAGACCTGAGCGCGCGGACAGCCAGCGCAGGTGCTGTCTGGGAGCTGCACGCTTGCCCACGAAACGCTGCCTGGGAGCTGCGCGCGGGCCCAGAAAGCGCGGCCCAGGAGCTGACTCGGCGCTGCCCGCGGACTTCTTAGCAAGCGCGTCCTGGAAGCTGCGCGCGCGCTTCGGAACCGTCTCTCTCTCTCTCTCTCTCTCTGACGACGAGTTCCCAGGAGTTGCTTTCCAGACTCCGCAGGATCCCTGCTGGCGCACGCCTTCCACACCCCGGGCATCCTCGAGGTCATGCAGGCGCGCGCGGGCCCCCCCCCCCCCCGTCATGCCGGCGCGCGCGCCCCCCCCCCCCCCGCCTGATCCCAACAACTCTGGCCGTCGCCCCGACCTGGCGCTGGCCCCCCATGCCCGCTGATCGGCACGGTGTCGGGGCCTTCGGCCCCGTCGACGTCCGCCGATCCTGGCGCCCTCCTCGCGTCGTGAAAGCATCACTGCGTGATTGCTTGTTGGGTTGCAGCTTAAGTCTTGCTTCGAGCGATCCCCACCGGAAAGCTCGAGGCGGGATGCCCGGGGAGCGCCGGGGCCGTCGGGGCCAGGGCGCGGCCGTGAAGCGCAGGGTGTGCGAGGCGGATCGGGATTCCCAATAACTCCAAAATTGCACGGGAGGGAAGACCAGTTGTTGATCACATATGTTTATGTCCGTGTGTATATATATGTGTATATATATATATATATATATATATATGTGTATTGACTTTGTGGTACAGATGCACAGGTACATGTGCATACACGTGTGTACACATATGTGTGTACACGCACACGTGTGTGTGTGTGCGTTAGCCGGGTAGGACCCCAACCAGTGAGTTGTTGTGATGTGGATGTGCAAGCCATGTGGTGCAATCTGGGTCGTGCAAGCTGTGTGGTGCAAGCATTGTGGTGCAAGGTATGTGGTGCAAGCTATGTGGTGTAAGCTTTGTTGCGGCAGCAAGGCGGCACGGGCGGCAGCGTTTCCAAATTCCGGCTCACCCACACAGCGCACGAGGCGGAAACGAGGCTGCAACGAGGTGGCAACGGGGCGGCACTGGCGGCAACGTGGCGTATCCTCGGCACAGCCACCCACCGCACGAGGCGGCATTCATGCGGCAACGGGCGGCAGCGTGGCGAATCCTCGGCAATCCCACGCAGCGCACGAGGCGACAACGCCACGGAGACGAGGCGGCAACGGACCGCAACGGGCGGCAACATGGCGAATCCTCGGCATACCCACAGGCGGCAACGGGGCGGCAGGGTGCGACGGTACGGGCGGCAACAGGGCGAACTCTTGGCACACCCCCAACAGGCGGCAAGGGGTGGCAGCGGGCGGCGACGGGTGGCACACTGCACGAGGCGGCAACGACGCGGCGACGAGCTGGCAACGGGCAGCAACGGGCGGCAACGGCGGCGAATCCTCGGCAAACCCACAGCCTCCGAGGCGGTAATGACGCGGCAGCGGACCGCAACGGGCGGCAACGTGGCGAATCCTCGGTATACCCACACAGCGCACGAGGCGGCAGCGACGCGGCAACGAGGTGGCAGCGGGCCGCAGAAGGGGCGGCAATTGGCGGCAACGTGTCCAGGGAACGATTTTTCACCAATCGGAGCTTGCCTCTGTAGGGGTCCTGGCGCATTCATATCGTTAGGTTAGGTTTGTTGCTGATTTTCGCTGCACGCCCGGGTGCCCGGGGCCCGGGTGCCCGGGAGGGGCCCGGGGGTGCCCGGGTGCCCGGGTGCCCGGGGGTGCCTGGGGGTGCCCTATAGCCAGCCCTACGCCTTATAGCCCAATAGCCCTATAGCCCTACAACTCTATAGCCCTATAGCTCTATAGCCCTATGGCTCAAGAGCCCTATAGCCCTATAGCCCCCTGGCCCTATAGCCCTGATTGGGGCTTTTCTCCGGTATCATTATATCTAAGGTTTGACTATGTTGGGCCCTTTTTTAACAGAAACAACTTGTTTGGATTTCTCGCCCAAAATCCGCTTGTAGGAGGACGTGCCCAACCTAAATGTAGCGTACAGTAAATCCCCCATGGCAGATCCGGGCCGTCTGCGGAGTGGTTCTCTGGCTTCTCCGGGGCCGCGCCTGTGCTCCTCTGGGGGTCCGATCGGGTTGTGATGTTCCAACCTACTTCCTTAGCCTTGATCACCAGACTGAACTTCGAGCACAAGGAAAGTACCGAAACTTACGGTTTTTCACGCGTCGGGCCCTGGGAGGCGATACTCCTTCGGCGCCGTTTCGATACTTTTCTGGGGACCGAAACTATTTCTGGGATGTGGCCCTTAAGTGCGACGGGAGCGGCATAAGACTAACGAGTGGTTCTCTGGTTTCCCCTGGGCCGTGCCTCTGCTCCTCCGCGGGTATCGAGGGGGGCACTTTTCGTCGCGGCCGAGGCGCTCGCGCGCGCGGTCAGGAACGTAATAGGTATCCTGCGTTACTCGCGCACCACAATCTCTCGCGGCATAGCAGGTGGCATGCTGCCGTTTTGGGGTCAGCCGTGGAGTCGCAGGGGGAGAGAGAGAGAGGGAGGGAGAGAGAAAGAGAGAGAGAGAGAGAGAGAGAACACGACCCAGACCCTCTCGGGCAATGGAAAAATCACGACGGGAGGTTTGTCGCTATTTTCGGCCTCTGGGTGCCCTTACCTGCCCTGGGGACCGTCAAACACTTGCCACAAGAAACATGACGTCGGGGGTCTGGGAAGAGAGTGTTGGAGAGAAGGAAAGAGAGAGAGAGAGGGGAAAAAACAAATCAGAGATAAAGGTGGAAGCAACAGAGACGGGCACGAGGGTGGAGGACGGCCCCCCTCCGTTGCCTTGCCCCGCTGTCTCCCCCTTTTGTTCCCCTCTCATCCCGCATGGTTCCCCTCCCCCCTTGTGCCCCGAACGTGGAAAGAAAACACATTGACCTCGATGATTTGCGTTTGGTGAAAGGCCCAGCGCGTTTACTAAATAGCCTTGCCCTGCTCGATTCCAGTTTCATGTGCGTTGACTACACAGTGCCAAGTTTGGGTGGGCACGCATTGTCTGGGTGGTGGTGCTTTAGCCGTCTAAGTTTCCCTATCTTCCTCATCCGCCCCGTTTTGGCGAAGTGGGCTCAAGCGTTCATATGATCAACAATTACTTGTCGGTTACCACCACTACTGAACATCCCCACGTGTCAAGTCCCCTTCGTCATGACGGTCATCGTGGCGTTCCTTTGCCTGGCAGTTGCACGCGGAATGTCCTTCAGCTTAGGGCGCGCCGCGGAAGGTAGCGTCCGCGCCACTACCGACCCAGACGAATCATCAGCGGAGGATCAAGACGACCTCGAGATGCAGGCGTGGATCGGCCCAGAGGGCATGACCACCGTCGAGAAGGAGGTCGCCGACCTGCAGGCAGCCCGCTGGACCAGCCTGCAGGCCATGGATGCTCTCCTCACGTCCCAGAGGCACGGCACCCTCCCGATGCAGATCTCCGACATCCTGCCGCCTCCGGCAAGCCCCGCCACCGTGCCAACGCTCGCCATGGGGGAAGCGTGTTCTGAGGCAAACGGGTCCTAAGGTTTTCCGGCCTTTTCGAGCTCCCGGGGCCCTCCACGGGCCCCGGGACTGGCAGACACCGATTCGGGATGAAGATCTGGTTCCGGAGGAAGGCCCCGCCCAGGGTCCAGGACCCGTGTCCCTCGGAGCACGTTTCCAGGGCTCGACCTAAATTGTGTGTGTGTGTTTGGCGACATGTTGGGCCGTTTGTGTTGCGATTTCGTTTTGCAAGGAAGGCGAACGGCGAATGGAGAACAAAACGAGGGAATCGAAAACAACACGAAGACGACAAACACGGCGTCGAAAAGAAAACGAAGACGTGTAGCACGAAACCAGGCGTTTCGGATAGGACGAAGGGGTAGGTCGGGGAAGGGGGGCGTGCGAAATCTGCCGCGTGCAGCTGGTTTAGGCCACGCAGCCTGGCCCATTCCTCGAGACATCGGTGCCTCCAGGCGCTTGGAGGCGCCGGGGAATCCAGCCACGTGAGCTGATTCTCTACTCTACCATTTGTTATCCTACCCTCCCAGGCATGGGACGTCATGATTTTCTCAGAACGTTGACCCTCAGAGGTCCCCTGGACCGGTCTCTCATCCTGATTCATTTTTTGATCGGTCCCGAGGGCTGGTGAGGGCCCCCAGAGGCCGACAAAAGCGGAAAACCTCCCGTCCTGATTTTTTCATTGATGGGCCTGTTTTCCACCACCACCATAAGTTGGAGGGGGGAAGGAGGTGGAGGACGAGGAGGAGGAAGAGGAGGAGGAGGAGGAGGTGGAGGAGGAGGAGGAGGAGGAGGAGGACCCTCTCCCCCTCCAGCAGTTGGTTGTGGTGGGTGAAAACAGGCCTATCGTTCATCGTCCGAGGGGGTCGGGGCATTCGTCCGCCCCAAGCAACGGCGAGCGAACGGGGTCTCCCCGTGCTTTTCTCGTTGCCGTCTTGTGCGGCCTGTGGTCGTTTCTGGGCCCGGGCAGGCTCGGTACCTCTATCAATCTCCCCTTTTTCCCGTTTTTGGGCTTCTTGGCAGGCCCTCGTCGCCACCGCCGGATTCGCCTCGAAATCCTAGTCAGAACGCGGCCCAGGAGAGGTCCAAGGAGTAGCGGTGTCGGTACCCTTTCGTTTCCCCAGGCTGCAGCCCTCCCTGCCCAGAGGTTCCGACGTTCCAACACGAATTGGAGCAGGCGTCTTTGTGCCGCTTTTCGCCTCTCGGGGGCCTCGGGAGCGTCAAACAACGGCTCCAGACGAAGAACCGGCCCCTGGGAGGTGGTCCAGACCTCCTGGGCCCACGCATCGAAATGGATGTAGCAGCCCGATGTCTGGATGGGGCATGTTTGGTGCCTTTTGGAGTTTCTCAGGGGCCTCTTTGGAGATCGCTTCTTGCAGTCGCGTCTTCATGGCGCCGTCTTGGGGGTCTTGGGGCCCTCTTTGGGGGATCCCCGGGCCATCTTGCAAGTTTACCTGGCCGTCTTGGGGCCCTCTCGGGGTCGGCTGAGGCCGTGCCGGAGGCTTCTTGAGGCCTTCTGGGCCACCTTGGGAGTCTGGAGCTCTCTGGAGGCCGGCCTGCGCCCAACAAGCTTGAAGTGCAAACAGGCAGCCGACAAGTGGTTGATGCGTTCTGGTTTGGCCCCCCAGGGCTCCCTGGGTGCGTCTCGGGAGCTGAGTGGGGCCTGCTCGAGCGCTTTGGAGACGTCTTTGCCCGAGGCACTCGTTCCTTCCGTCTCGGGGTCCGCCTTGCACATTGTCCAGCCGTTCTGGGCCGGTGTTCGGCCGCAGATCCACGGGTGGGAGCCGCCACGGGTCTGCTGCGACAGGGGGTCGCCCCCCAGGAAGCGACTGATTCCCTGCCAGACGCATCCTGACACGCCTCAGCGTGCCGCCTGTACCCCGGCGGATCTGCACCCGCTTCCACTTGAAACCGCAAGAGTGCGCACGAGTCGAAGCATATCGAATGGCCTTCGGCACGTCCCTGCCTGGGTTGTGGGCATGGGACCTATAGTGGATGATCGTTGGGGTCCAGCGGGAGGCTTTTCAGGGGCCTCTCGGAAGCCCTCTTGAGGCCTCTTGGGGGCCGTTCTGGGGCCTCGTGGGGGCCTCGTGGGGGCCTCTTGGGGGCTCTTGCGCGCCTCTTGGGGCCTCCTGCTGGCCTCTTGGGGTGCAAGGCTCGGCTTTTCCGTTCGTGTACCCTGTCTTGGGCTCGGGGGCTGTCTCAGGGGCCGTCTTGGGCGCCTCTTGGGCCGTCTTTGGGCGCCTCTTGGGCCGTCTCGGGGCCCTCTGGAAGGCCTCTTAGGCCGTCTTCGGATGGTCTTGGGGTCTCCTGGGCCGTCTTGGAGCGTCGGAAAGCCGAAAAGGTGAGAACGCTAAAATCCTTCAAACACCTTAAGCATATCAGTGATGTTTGCCTTTGGGGGTCCTCTTGGGAAGGTTCTGGGGGCTCTCTAGGGCCATCTTGGTGGCCTCTTGGGCCATCTTGAGGCCATCTTGGGCGTCTTGCGCCGATCGTTCGGCGACTCGGGGCCCTCTTGGACCGTTTTCGGGGCCTCTTGGAGGCTGCTTGGCCCGTCTTCGAAAGTCACGCGAGAAGCCCCATAGGGGGCACGCGAGAAGCCCAAGAAGCTTTGGCAACTTGCACGCGAGGGAAGCCCCAGAAGGTTGGGCAGCTTGGGCTGCTGGCCCCCGAAAGACCTCAGGAGTGCTCAGAAGATTGGGTGGCGGATCTTGGGCGGCTGGCCGATAACCGTACCAGGCAGCTTGTGAAGGTGCAGCGCCTCTTCTCTGGTAAGATTACGGCTGCCGCGCACGTGTTCGCAATCGGCGTCCGCAGCATGTGCGGGGCTCCCACGGACGCGGCCTGCGATTTGTACAGGCGTGATTTTTGCAAAGTCCTCGAGGCTGTTCCCAGGATGTCGTTCATGGGCGACAAGCCGGCCTTCTTCAAGTTTGGCGACACAAGAGACTCAAACGCGTGCTATCCCACCATCTACAAGACTCGTCTCATGACCAATCGTGGTGGTAATCACGTGCTCTTGGATTTGAATCACGATCGGCATTGGGGTACGCTTGGTGAAGTTCCTCGTGTTGATGTCCCTTGGGCTCTGAAGCAGTCGAAGCTGGTTTGGCGAGGTGGATCCACAGGAAAATGCGACTCGACTTTGAATAACACTCGTATGAAGCTGGTAAAGAAGTACTTTTATTCTGACGACAAAAGAATTGATGTCGGCTTCCACGAGGCCATCCAAAACTGCAAGGAGGCGAAATCATACCAGAAACCTGCTATGTCGATGCGTACGCTGCTCAAGTCAAAGTACCTTCTTGTTGCGCAGGGCAATGATAAAGCCAGCGGCTTGAATTGGGCACTTGCCTCAAATTCTGTCCCCTTTATGGTCGAGCCAGACATCGAGAGTTGGCTACTGGAGTCTTCTTTGAAGGCATGGGAGCACTACGTTCCAATCAGTCCTGATTTTTCAGACCTCCGGTCGCAGATTGATTGGGCTGTGAAGAACGATGGCGACGCAGAGCGCATCGCCAAGGCGGGACAGGAGTACATGAAGCAATTTAAGAACAGGAAGACCGAGACGGATATCGAGGCTGCAGTCTTGACTGCTTACCTTGATAGGGTGGACATCAGAGAGTCAAAGATGTTCGGGATAGATGGGCACCTCGAGGGTAAGTGTTTGGTGTAGTCGTTAGTGTTGCAGCTGTGCCCTGCTAGAGTTGAGATAACTGTTTCTTATATGCTCGAACCCCTCTTACTGATTTGACGCAAGAAACGAGAACTGGTTTCTATTGCCTTTTTCAGCCGAGCAGTGGTCTGGGCTTGACCGCGGACTCCTCGGCACCCCCTATGTGACCGCTGCGGCACTGCGCGCCCATCCCCGCAGCCGGCACACCTCGGCTGAGGCGGCGCCCTCCACCTTCTCCTCCTCTTTCCCCCAGACCTCCGCCGTCGCCGTGTTGTCCACGACGTGGGTCCCCCAGGAGCTCTCGTCCTCATCCCGAGGACCGACCCTCCGTCGCCTGCAGTCTTGTAGTGGCCCCGGGGCCCCACACGGCCCGCAATGGCCGACATCGCGAAGAGAACGGCGCCCGCAAGGATCGTTGTCACGTCGCTTGAGGTCTAGGTCTAAGTCGGGCCTACCCCTCTACAGGGGGAATATCCAAAAATAGTCACAAAATAGCAAAAATAGTCACAAAATAGTCCGGGGGCTATTTTTTGGTGTATTTTTGGGCATCTTTCGTCCAACATTCCCAAGTAGGGGGACAGGCCCGGCTTACGTCTAGGTCCCCCTCTGCCTGACCCTGCCTGCCTCCCCCTGCCCCTGTTCCGCAGGGTGGGGAGCTCAGAGAGGGGGACCGTGGCCGCATCTTTGGCATGGAGGGGATCCAGGCCTCAATCCACACGCGTGTTACTAAGGGCGCAAGAAACGCCCCTACCCTGGTTTACGAGGTGCTGTGCGCTGAACCTCCTGTGGGCTAACAGGGTAAACCCTGCGTGATGTGCGGCGTCCTGGCGGCTCTCTGGGCTTTGGGCGTTACCAGAAGGTTTACAGACCACGCACTTGTAACCCAGGGTGGGGTCGTTTTTTGCATCCCTCTTGTTAGAAGGGACGGAGAACGAGCCAAACGCCCCCTGCCGCTGCCGCACTTCTTCCCGGCGCAGCGGGACTGCTATCCTCACCGTGAGAGCGGCCCCGAGTTTTCTGGGTTGCCCGCCTCTGTCAGGAAACGGCTGGGGAGAAAGAGTTGGTCCTGTGGGACCCCTCAGGGTCCCTCAGGACCTGGTTTCCCTCATGCCAAGAGACCGCGCGCGTCAGCCCAGCCCACAATGGTGGTGAGACTTCTTCTGCACGGGGCCTCCGCAGTTGTCGATCCCCCTCCCGCGCACCGGCTTGGTACGGTCAAGACGCTGCAACAAGGACCACTTCGCGCTCAGGGGCTGCTCCGGTCTGTTGGCCGCTGTTTTGGGGTAGGCCGGGGAACCCACCCTTTCGTGGTCGAGGCACTAGGCGGCCTCTGACCCAGACCCCCGACGTCATGATTTTTTCATAGCGTCGACCCTCAAGGGTCTCGACCCATTTCCCATTTCCCTGGACCGGTTTTTCATCCTGAGTCGTTGTTTGACGGCCCCGAGGCCCAGTAAGGGCCCCCAGGGGCCGACAGTAAGGAAAAACCTCCCGTCGTGATTTTTTCATTACCCGAGGGGGTCTGGGGACGGGTTCCTGATCGCCCCTGAGCCTGGAAACGGTCTCCACGCACCGAGAACAGCGAGCAGGACTCCGCTTCGAGCTTTTGGTTGCACGCGCTGGGAGGCTGGGGCACGTGGACGCCGATCTGACGTGCCGCCGTCCACCAGAGGCTCGCTACGACTGGGGAGGCCCGGGCGGATCCGCTGACATCGAAAGAGAGCGAGAGAGAGAGAGAGAGAGAGAGCGATGTGTATACAGTGAGGGCGCGCATCAAGAAGCCGTGTGCTTTTCGTCAGGGTATCTTGGGCTTCTTCGCTCCGCGCGCTGCGCGGTGACTTCCCGCAGCCGTGGAAGAAACTGCTGCGTTCAGGGTGCTCCAGGGGCTTCCCATCAGGTGCACCTCGCGCGCGCGGGTTTTCAGAGTTGGGTTTCTTGCGATGGTACCTTGCGGCCGCGCCCGCACTGTATATATACATATATATATATATATATATGTCTAGCTTCGTAGATCTGTATGCCTATAACTATATATAATCATAAAGAGAGAGAGAGAGAGAGAGAGAGAGAGAGAGAGAGAGAAAGGGAGGAAGAGGGAGAGACAGAGACAGCGACAGAGAGACTGGCAGAGAGACCGATAGAGAGGCAGAGAGAGAGAGGGAGCCACCGGGAGAGCGACAGAGGGAGCGACAGGGAGAGCGACAGAGGGAGCCACCGGGAGAGGCAGAGAGAGAGAGGGAGCAGAAATCGAGAGAGAGAGAGAGAGAGAGAGCCAGACAGCCGCTGCGAGCGAGCGGGGTGGCAGCGAGCGGGCGAGCCGCAGGCGCTCATCAACGGCAGCGAGCACGGCAAGGACTCCGAGGCGGGCGCCGCCCGCGGCGCCGCCGGCTGTGCCGCGAGCCCTGCCCTGGCCTCTGCCTTCAGCAGGCTCTGTGTGCGGCCCTGTCCCTTCGCCTTCGAAGGGTCGAGGGGGGGCAGCTCTTCCTCGGCGTCCTCCTCCTCCTCGGCCTTTCCCCCCTCCTCCTCCTCCTCCTCCTC